GTTCATGCTATCACTGGTTCTCCCAAACAGACCAAAAAGAAACAAACAAACAAAACAAAACAACTCTAGTCACACAAGCAATGTGAGTGGTAGACTAATATCAGCTTAGGACTGTATCTCTACTAATGCTCGTTCACTTACAGCACAGAGCACCTCCACCTGTAGGAGCAGACAGTATTTCAGTGTGGAATCGATGACTGGTGAAAATGGTTCCATGTGGAGCTGAAGCAAAATAAGCCAACTGGCCGAGTTATTCAGGACCAGGTACTTACTGCACTGACAACAGATCATTTCCACTTGTCAGGAAATGTAATGGAGTCAAGACATTCTGCCACAAGTGCAGACTAAATGTAATGGATATTCAGCAACCCACATTAAACTATAGGATGGGCTTTCAGGATGGTGAGGGGCAGATGAGCTGGTAACATTAACGTCAGAGGAATTGTGGGTCTGAACATTTTCTTTCTGCTACTGTATAAACATGTCCCTGCTAAAAACTGTTGTATGGCATACATAATATCTACATAGATGAGTCTTGCTCTTGAAAGTGTAAATACAAATAAGCAACTGACATTTTTTTTTTTTTTTTTTTTTTTTTTTGGTTTTTCGAGACAGGGTTTCTCTGTGTAGCTTTGCGCCTTTCCTGGGACTCACTTGGTAGCCCAGGCTGGCCTCGAACTCACAGAGATCCGCCTGGCTCTGCCTCCTGAGTGCTGGGATTAAAGGCGTGCGCCACCACCGCCCGGCGCAACTGACATTTTTAATGCTATTGTGAGGGCACTGCTTTTTTTCTGATTAGGATGTTCATTATTTCGGCATAGACTTACCAGAAATTAAAAAGTCAGAATAAAAATGAAAGATAATAGATCTAAATATGGTAGGGGAAAATGTAAAAGCATTTATTTTACTGAAAATAAAAACCTAGGCTGTTCTATAGCTTCAGATGGGATGTAAGGCAGAGGAAAGGAAGACTCAGAGTCTCCGGCCAACCAATAGGACTTCAAAATTTCTAGGGCTAGAGGACACCAAAAGGAAGTTAAAGGTTAGCCCCTCTGGTCTCTTCTTCATTCTCCTGGCAACACCTCCACAGTCATCTGAGCTTGAAATTAGACAATCAATTTTGTGGCTTCCTTCTCAGGAAAATTGAACTATAAGCATCAGGATTAGAGCTGGGATGAACTTGGGTACTATGGATTGCATTTTAAATGCTCCCATCAAAGGACCATGAGCTAAATAAAGCCTGATAATTAGCCTGTTGTTCTGAAGGATGGTGCAACTAAGAGGTGGACCCTTAGGAAGATGGAACTTTGGGAGGTAGAACCTTAGGAAGGTGGACCCTTAAGGAGGTGGGGCTTTAGAGAAGTGGGCCCTTGGGGGAGGTGGAGACTTGAGGCGGAACTCTGGGAGGTGGAGCCTAGTAGTAGGAGGGACTTTGTTGGAGTGGGTAGGGCCTTGTTGGAGGAAGTGTTTCACTATGGGAATAGGCTTTGAGGTCTCATATACTCTCAAGCTATGGCCAGTGTGGCACAGTTCACTTCCTTTTGCCTGTGGATCAAGATGTAGACCTCTCACCTCCTTCTCCAATATCATGTCTGTCCATATGCCGCTATGCTTCCTTCCCACCATGATGATAATGGACTAAACCTCTGAAATTGAAAGCCAGCCCCAATTAAATGTTTTCCTTTATAAGAGTTGCTATGGTCATGGTCTCTCTTCACAGCAATAGAAATCCTAAGACACGGTCCAAGGACTCACAGATGTCGTGGTGTTCAGAATGGAGCTGCAGGGTTTCAACACTGCTGCTTGGGCTCAGGGCTTTATAGCCAAGTTTAGTCAAGAACAGCTTCTTTATTAGCAGCAAGGTAAAGCCAAGCCAGGTATCCCCAGAGTTAGGGAAGGTCATCAAATCCCATAGCCCTGGGCACAGCTCCATCAGTTTCTACACAAAACCTAGCATTAGATGATGGTGTGATTTTTCTTAGTTTTCACTATGTAGCAGTCACACTTTATGAGAGCAAGCTTGAGGTCCACAGATACTTACAAGTGTGCATGCTTGCCAGCCCAACTTCCTGAAAGTGCCACAGGAGCTGGAGCCTCACTTTGCAGTTTTGTTACTGAACTCAACACCACTAGGCTGTAACTGTGTGGGCAGTAGAAGCCCTGACAGTCAGGCTGGCCTAAACAGTGAAGGACATAACCTTCAAGGTGGAGATGGTCAGTTTCTGAGACACATTACAAGCTGCTGTTAACAACCAAGAATTTCTATAAAAGCATTTTTTATAGGTTCCTGTGGTAGATTGAATGTAATTGGCCTCCATAAGCTCATAGGGAGTGGCACTATTAGTAGGTGTGGCCTTGTTGGAGGAAGTGTGTCACTGTGGAGGCAGGCTTTGAGGTCTCATATGTTCAAGCCATGCCTAGTGTCTCACTTCACTTCCTGTTGCCTACAGATCAAGATGTAGAATTCTTAGCTCCTCCTCCAGCACCATGTCTGCCTGCACACCATCATGTCCCACCATGATGCTAATGGACTGAACCTCTGAACTGTAAGCCACTCAATTAAATGTTATTCTTTTATAAGAGTTGCTGTGGTCATGGTGTCTCTTCACAGCAATAGAAACCCTAAGACAGTTCTCATCTTCCTAGAATGTTTTATGAACTGTATCAGACACAATGAGAACCATTAAAACTACTATGTTCAAGAGGTTGTGGATGGTTCCCTCTGCCTTTAAACCACAGAAGATATCAATATCTTTGAAATGCTTTTGCTGTCATCGGAAGAGTATTTAGTAATATCAATTAAAAAGCTGTAATCATGAGCCAGCAAGATGGCTCAGTGGGTAAAAGTGTCTGCTGCCATGACTGGCAACCTGAGAATCAATTCCAGCAAACTGTCCTCTGACTTTTACATGCCCATCATGGCACATGCACCCGCACACACAAACACGTGCTCACAAAATAAATGTAGTATTTCTAAGAAGCTGTAGCCATTATAGAATGTTGAGAACAGTAGGGAGAGGGGGCTCAGATGAGAAAAAAAGGCTGCAGTGAGGGAGGAGCACCAGAAGCTTAGGTGTCCCCCCAAAGTTCTCACACTGGGAGCTCAACCCCAGCAGTGTTGTCGGAAGGTGAGGCCTAGTGGGAAATGAGTGGGCCACAGAGACACTGCCTTCATGGATTAGTTAACGCCTTCATCTCAGGAGTCAGTTTTGGGGTTGTGGGTTTCTCATGAAAGAGGAGTGAAGCCCCTTTCTTGTCCTCCTTGCCCTTCTGCCAGATGAAGCAGCAGCAGGGCCCTCACCATATACACAGACTCATAGCATTCCTCACAGCCTCCAGCACCATGAGAGATAAATTTGTTACAAATGACCAGTGTTCTTCTACAGCAGCAAACATGGTCAAAGATGGAGAGTGATGAATGGAATCGAAATTAAACGGTAGTACATTAGTGTAGGCTTCATGAAGGCCAGGGTCCTATTAGCCCAGCCTCAACAGCAGCGTTAAGGACACACTAACCATGAGTGAGTACATGGGTGTGAACAGCACAACCACAAAAGCAGGTTGGAGCTGATGACTGAAAGGGAAATAGGTAATAAAAAGTTGATATTTACATTATCTGCTTGTCTTCAAAAAAAATGAAAAATAAAGAGGATGGTGGGAACATTTCTGCTCAAACCTCAATTCACATACCTGCTATTTGTTAGATCTCTGGGAACGAGGAAAGTGTCACTTAACGTGTGATCTTATGATAATATGGTTTGAAGACTCAACCAATTAGCTTACATCAGGCGACTGAGCAGCCCAAGGCATCAGTACCACTCAGGTGTGGCTGAACTAAGTGAGCTGACTGCATATTCTCAGGATCCTTTTTTGGGGGGGTGAGGTGGGGAGGGGAGGGTAATGGGACTGAACCTAAGGATGGATACACAGAAGGTCCACTGAGCTAGTCCTAGCTGTGCATAGCTTGTCAAGAACACAAAGAGCTGGGCTTCCTCATATCACTTTCTCCTGCCCTAGCCAAGGAAAACATCCCTTATGCAACACCAGGATGCCTCTATTTGTTTAATCACAGTGAGTGTCATGGTTCTGAATTCTATTTTTAAAACACAACCTTGGGCTTGCTTGCTAGCTGCTGACTTCTATTTGCCTGTACTGAGCTTCGCCACCGGTCTTTATCAGTTTCATACATTTGCTTATGTCCCTTGGCCAAAAGCCAACCAGCCAACCAAACAAACAAAAGTTAAAATTATCCCGTGTGTGAGGGAATGCTTTAAGGTTTAAAAAAAGATTGTTTTAGAATTATGTGTGTGTGTGTGTGTGTGTGTGCTACTTGCCTGTATGTGCCTCATATGCATCGAGTGCTCTGAGGCCAGAAGAGGGTGTTGGTGCCTGGGACTGGAGTTACAGCAGTTGTGGGGCCCTTACATAGGTGCTGGAAAACAAACCTGTCCTCCCCTACAAGAGCAATAACCACTGAACCATCCCTCTGGCCTCTCTCCCCTTTAAATTTATTTATTTTAAAGATAGGGTCTCACTGTGTAGCTCTGGCTGGCCTGGAACTCCCTAGGTAGATCAGGCTAGCCCTCAACATTCAACTCAGAGATAGGTCTGCCTGACTCTCTAGCGCTGCTATGAAGGGCATGTACCAACGTGCCCGGCTAATGAGAATATTTTCATGAGCCATTCATCATTTCAGAATGGATTCTAGGAAGTTTCTCAGTTCCTCTCTGTCTGTCTCTCTCTCCTCTCCCCCTCCCCTCTCCTCTCTCTCCCCCCCCCCCCCCCCCCCCCGTCTCAGTTCTCTAGAGACCATGGTGGGGGTGCCCAATTCTAAGTACCCACACATAGGCTCTCAGCCTTCCCACGTGTCTGGAGTCTGGGTGGGTGAAGTGCAGGTTAGGGTCAGAGCAGTGCCCACTTAGACTGAGGTTGGACTGAAGGTCCAGTGAGCTGCCCCGTCCGTCCGTCCGTCCGGGTGGCCACCAGCGTAGCACGCCCACCTCTGGGTGCTGCAGACTCAGGCTCTCTCAGGCTGAGGACTGCTGGCCATGCGGGCCCCCCGGACAGTCCATCCAGGCGGAAGGACGCCTCAATGGTCATTATGCAGATGAACGACGACCTAACTCACGAGGCTCCCGCCGCAGCGTCGGGCTGACCTTCCTTCTTAGCCATCCAGACTCCCCGAGACAGTCAGGCGGCGCATGCGCAGCTGGGAGGCCAGGCTGCGCGGAAGTAAAGCGAGCCGTGGCGTGGCCGCGCCCTCGAAGCGTCCTAGTGGGTGGACGACGCATGCGCCGGCGGCGCGGTCTTAAGGGCGGCCGCGGCCCGGGGCCGCCCAGTCGGCCCGTCAGCCGGCTTCGAGGTGCGTTCTGCGCTTGCGCGGCGGCGGTGCTGAGCGCGATGGCGGCGGAGGAGGAGGTGGACTCGGCGGACACCGGTGGAGGGTGAGGATCACCCGGGAAGAGGGACGACGTGGTTTGGGGGCGCCCCAAGGAGGAGTGACGCTCTGGCGATGCCGGGCGGCCGGCTGAGGGAAGACGCGGGGCTGACAGGCCGCGGGGCCACGGGGAGAGCGGCCGGTGAGGGCGCCCGGCCGGGCGACCCTGATCAGCGTCACCGCTCGCCTCGAGCGGGGCGGAGATCGGGACTCCGCGCCGGGACGCGGGGAGCCGGGCGTCACCAGGGTGGGGAGTGGGCATGTGGACTTCCGGGAACCTCCTGGGGAGGATGACAGTCAGCTGTGCCGGAGAGCGTCCCTCGGTGGTGGCCGTCTGCGCTCGCCTCACACCTCCCCGGCCCCCGGTGCGCTCCTGTGACCAGGTGTTCTGGCTTTCCTGGACGAGTCTTCTCGGCAGCAAACTTTGTGGAAGTTGAAGGGCAGATGCCTAACAGGAAGCCCTTAAGTTTTTTGTTTTTGTTTTTTTGAAACTGTGTGTGTAGCTCTGGCTGGCCTGGAAATCTGTGTAGACCAGGCTAGCTTCAGATCTGCAGAGCTCCAATCCTTTTGCCTCAGATGCTCAGGGCTGGAATCAAGTGTGAGGCACCACATCCAGCTTTTTGATGGACTCGTTTTAAGTTACTCTTGTCTGTCTTTGACATATGTCATGCCCTTGTGAGTAGAATACTAACTGTTGGAGAAATTAAATTACCATGAACTAAGTTATTGCATTGGTTCTCAGAAGGCTGCTCTTTCGTATGGACAGGACTATACATCTTTCCCTTAAAAGTGTTTTGACAGTTCCATTTCAGATGTTTGGAGACATTTGCATAGGAAAAATAGCTTATATACTATGAAAGCAAATATTTTGGAAAGATGTTAGGGAAGGAATATTTTGAAACATTTGAAACCACATTCTCCTAGTTTTGCTGAAGTGATAACAAGTTGTGCCCACTTTCTGGTTTGTTGTTGAGCTTCCTAGTTACTTGGTATGAAATGCAGAGTGTCTCAGGGTACAGCCAGGAACTGGCAGCTTGTGTTCCTATCAAATTTGTCAAGACATTTTTGGGCTCTGAGACTACTAACTTGTGGACCTTTTTGGTCTTGATGGTGTGAGGCTCCAGAGTCGAGAGCACAACAATGAGATCAAGTTATGGCTTGGGTGGTGTCTGGAGGTCACGGAGGGCAAGACCAGCCACAGTCCCAAGACGGAGGTAGCCCTCCCTGGTATATTCTTGGCAGGACATTTGAGCAGTTGCTGTGTATCTACTTGGAGATGGTCTTCTGAACTATACCAGGCAAGCACAGAGAAGGCTGAGTTCCTGCTGGGTGTTCCCCAATGTGGTGATAATACTAATGTCTACCCTGTGTGCTAGATCTGACTACACCCATTTTCGTTTGGAACTACCTCTAACAAGTAGTTGAGCTAATTGGAACCTACCTCTTCAGATGTCTGCATTTAGTTTTAAGGCATTTCCCTCATATTTCTGCTGCTTCTTGATTGGATTGGAACTCCTGGGATATTTGCCTACTGTTCTGAGTCAAGTTCTTCAAGGCATTTGGACTTAGGCAGTGCCATATGATCTGAATGTCCTAAGAGGCTTCATATGTTGAAATTTAATCCTCATTGTGAGGAATTAGCAAGTGGAACTTTAATCTGATGATAGTCCATAGAGGCAAGGCTTTGGGCAGTGATTAGAATGAGAGAGTCAGTAGAATGGAGTACTGGTGATTGAATCCTTGTGGTTTTATGAAAGAAGAGTACAGATCAGTATATGTACCGACTGTATGTTCTCAGCTCCCTGTGTCTTGCCTTGTGCTACCCTGGGATTTTACCAGGAAAAGTCTGACACTAGAACTAATCCTTCAGTTTTGTACCTCCAGAACTATGATCAAAACACCTCGTTTCTTTGTAACTTATCAGTACATATGGGGAGATGACATTAATAAAGTAAGCAGTTATAAAGCAGTCCTCTCACAGCTATGTAAGTCTTGTCTTTCCCCTTGTGGAGACAAATGTACCCGGAAGCTTTCAAAATCCAGTCCTTTTCAGTTGCAAAACAGTTGAGAAAGCCAAATATAATAAAAATAGGGTAGATTTCTGCCACTCACTGTCATAATGTCCCAGAGAATTAAGTGCTGATTGAGTTTAGGGGAAAGCTATCACAGAACTCCTCTATTGCAGAATAGACTATAAAATAGGTGGCTTGCGGGGCATGCTAGAGTTGGTGTGTACTGGCAGACTGTTGCTGAATTTTCAGGAATTTTATAGCACCAGCATCCTGAAACCAACCACTGTGGGAGAATTTACACCATGGAAGTCATCAGATGCTATTAAATAAGACAGAATTTCTCCCTTGCTGCCTGAGTTGACTTGCCAGCTTCCTGCTGAGTTTATGTTAAAGACTGTGTATAGTCCTGTGCTTTGGAGATTCAAGAGTGAGCTTCTTTATCTTACTTCCTAAAGAACTGCTAAGATCTGTACATTCCTTCCTGCTGCTATTGCTCTGTAATCCTTGCCCCATGACTTCTTTAAAATCATGAAACTGCAATTCCAGTACTTATCTGACTTGGGTCTTTCACACACACACACACACACACACACACACACACACACACACACACACACACACAACACACAACACACACACACTACACACACAACACACACTGACCTCAAGACCTCATGTGAACACTGTACCACTGAGCTACATCCCCCAGACCTCTTGAGTCCTTTTCAGTATTCAGTACTATAGTGAAACTCTTATTAGATAGCTAACTCTTATGATGTTTTGTTTATTCTCTTAACTGAGACCAACAGTTGCGTTTATTAGGCTCTATTCTTTTAACTATTTTCTAAATACAATAATTCCCCAAGAGTTTATTATTTTCTTTTTATTTTTTATTTATGCACAGTTCTTGAGCTATCTTGTCTTTGAAGGACTGAGATCACATTCTCTTCTGTACTGTAGTATACTGTAGCTAAAGTTTTCCTGCCTGGCCCACAGTCAGGACAAATCTGTCACCCGCCAGTCCCACAGTGGCTCAGACCCAACCAAGTATACACTTCTTGCTAACTGTTCTTATATCTTAAATTAGTCCATTTCTATAAATCTATACCTTGCCTTGTAGCTCATGACTTACCGGCATCTTCACGTGCTGCTTGTCATGGCGGGGGCTGGCAGTGTCTCCCCCCTCAGCCTTCCACTTCCCAGAATTCTCTTCTCTACTTGTCCTGCCTATACTTCCTGCCTGGCCACTGGCCAATCAGCATTTTATTTATACAGAGTGATATCCACAGCAGTATACCATTTGTGTTTGCCAGCTGTTTGTATCTGTTTTTTCAAGTTTAACATGTCTAGACCATAGCCTTATTTGTGTCTCCTTCCTTTAAATGGTGTAAAGTGCACAGCACTTCCCTCTACTCTCCTTTGTTTTTAAAGGCAGTTTCATTCTTCTGGTTGTCTGCACTCTTATAACTGGCCTCTAAGTATCAAATCTGTTCCCTTTACTGTCTTTGGATAACAGGTCCCCACAGAGTCTAGCAACCTGCCCGTTATTGTCCCACTGTTACCTGGGAGCCACTTAGTTCAAAACTTTCATGTTCTTTCCTTGGATTTTTGCGAGCTTGGTAACATCAAACCTAGCTCATTTCATTAGTGCCTTTTCTACTTCCAAGAAGAACTCTCTTCTTCACACACAGTGGCTCTGTTATAGTTATGGTATATCCTGAGCCAGACTGTGAAGCCATTTGGAATCAGTGTGGCTTCCATCCAGCTTTGGAGTTTTATTTCCTTTCTATGCACTCTAACTCTGGAAAGCCATACTTTTTCATGCTTCCTAAACCTGTCAGCTGTTTCCCTGTCATTCTTCATGGTTTGTTTTACTTAGTTTTCTGTAACCCAAAATAGATTATTACCTTCCTTCTCTAAGGCCATGGTATTTTGTGTGTTTGTGTGATGCATGCTTGTGTATGTACATGTGTGTATGTGTTGCATGTGGAAGCCAGATGAAGACATTGGGTGCCTTGTCTGTCACTCTCTACCTTATTCCTGAGAGACAGGGTCTCTCACTGAACCCAAAGCTTGATGTTTTGGCTAGTCTAGGTCCTGGGATCTGCTCCCAGTGTTGGGGTTGTAGGCATGCCAGGCCATGCTGCTTCGCATGGGTGCTGGGATCGGAACTCAGGTCCTCGTGCCTGCACAGCAAGTGCTTTTACCCACTGAGCCATTTCCTCAGCCCCCATGGTATTTCTTTAAAAAAATTTTGTTTTTTACTATTATGGCCTTCAACTTTTGAATTTTCTGCCTTTACTTTCCAAATGCCAGATTTGCAGGCATGTACCACTACACTCAGCTCTAAAGTTTCTTTGTCTCACTTAAATACTGTTTAATAATATATTTATTTATGTATTTATTTTGTGAGCTCAGAAAAAGGCTTTTGTCCTACTCAAATATTTAGCAGAGTCCAAAGGGGCTGTATAAATAGTAATCTTCCATAATTTCTTATTAAACCTTTAACTATTATAAACTTATGCTGACATGAACCCTGAGCTTACAAACCTATTAATTGTTCATATTTCAGGTGTATAGCTTGTTTGTTTCCCTGAGATATTCAGAAATTTTTGTATATTAGTGGGACAGCAATTAGAACAACTCACTTCAGTTTTCCTGGGATGTTGGAAACAGGTTTCTATTTCTTGACCTTAGATGAACCAACCCATGCCTGCACTGCAGAATGCCAATCACAGACCAGCAAATGCAGATGTCAACCCTGTGACAAAAAACAAAGATTATAAAATCAGGGGTAGGCCACGTAATCAAAACAATGCTCAACAATATGTTTCAGGACTCAGAGATACGACCCATACTATTTATTTATTTATTTATTTGTTTGTTTGTTTATTTATTTATTTTAGTATTTTTGAGGCAGGGTTTCTCTGTGTAGTTTTGGAGCCTTTCCTGGAACTCACTCTGTAGCCCAGGCTGGCCTCGAACTCACAGAGAT